GGAGAAACATTTTTATTTATTACATTCAATTGGAATGACACTTTCTGCTGTAATTTAAATTTTCAAATTATTTATTTTTTTCTTTTGTCTCTATGTAATTCTGGCTAATATACATATTTTTATGAGCAGTTGTCAGTTCACCTTGGATAACTGGAAAATTTTGGTTTAAGACATGTGGAAGCAAAGCATGTTTTAAGTATGAGGGGGGAAGATAAACAAGCTATTCTTTTACCATTTTAAAGACAAGTGTAGTTTAGTTTAATGATTATTTAGTGCTGGTATACAATTTGAGATACAGAATGCAACAACAATGTAAAGCTGAATGATAATCTGTTGTTTTATGTTGCCATCTAGGCATAATGAGGTGTAATCTGGACTCTGCATGAGCAAGAAAAGATAAATAATTAGTTGAAAAAATAAATTAACCTAAAGATTTAATTTGGTATTTCTATGTGGAAATTTGTAGTAGTAGTAAAATTAAGTATGGCTTTGCATGCCACAAATGACAGTTTAATTCCAGATAATCCTATATTCAAAATTGATGTATCAGTATGAGATAGATAGCGTTCATTGTATATTCACCTATAAGTCAATTAATGCTTGTGGATATAGAATTTATTTGGTCGCAGTGTGTGTAACATCATTAGCTTCTAATGGTATGGTACAGTTGGTAACTCTGTATGATTTTCTTGCTATGTTATCTAAAAAATTGTCTCATACTTTTTGACTTGTAATCCTGTGTACTACAAAATAGACATGGAAGAGTGGAAGTGATGTTATCCCTTTTGTTATTAATGCCACAAATAATGAACGTCGACTCACTACAGCTGTCATGTGTAGATTTGACATAGAGAATGTGAAAGTGAGTTTTGGATATCCTTTCTTGTACTTTTTTGTCCTTTTCTCAGTCGTTTTATCCTTTCATCAATTAAAGAATTCATATATAGGTTAAAACTTTCAGGTCATGTTCAGCATGTGAGATATAAACACAAATCTGGTGAACTCTGCATGTGTTGCAGCTCTCGTGCTTTTAAAGGATTATCTTTAAATTACAGTTGTTTAATACCAATTTGTGTTTCATAACAGGAAATTTTGTTATGACTAAAAAAATGTTTGTTAGGATTGTGTATATTTTATTTTTATGTGCTGTTATGTGATAAATTTTGTCTTTCTGTGAGGTTGTGATGTATTTTTTGTGTTGTTTTAGTTTGTTAACATTATTGGTCTTTTTATGCTCAGGATTCACTCCCATACAGTGTTTTAGAGAATGTTTGTTTTACAATTTTAGACTTTGTTAATGAAGACAACTTGGCTGATTACATTCATGCATGAATCACAGTCTATGAAGAAGGATAAAGCATTATCTCTTTTGGAGTCGCTAAAATTGTTGTGTTCTGGAGATTACATATCTTGTCAGATATTTTGTACTGAAATTATGTATATGTAATAACCCACACCAAAAATATACCAGAGGATGATTTTAATGATCCGTATCAAGCATGCTCCAATATAAACTCAGGAGGTTAATTTTTTTTCTTTTCCTTAAATTATATTACCCTCATAGTATAATTCCTGCACTTTACTGGGAAAAGGATTTATTGAGTGAATTTCTTTAAAGATGCTATCTGTCTCTGTCTCTGTCTCTCTCTCTCTCTCTCAAAAAAAGAAGAAAAGTTGCTTAAACACCTTCAAATATCTATGGAAAATATTTATGAAGATGCATTGGTGATGGTAGTTTCCATTGCTGAAACAATACAGCAGTGTCCTTTAAAAATATTAAGAGTTTTTTCTTTTTGATATTTCATAGACATTAGCATTTTTGCATTTTGTTAGGCTGGGAGAGCCACTAAAACTGTCATTTATGATATTTTCCTTTTTCACAATGGAAGTGTGATTTCTGTCTAACTTTGAAAATGTGGTAACTTGTGTCCATAAGTGAATAACTAAAAGACACATATTGGGATATATAAAAAAATATCAGAAATTGCTTATAACAGCAGGGTAGGGATATAATAACATATCTGATATCAAGGCAGTATTGACATGAGAGAAAAGTGTTTCAAATAAAACTGATATTAATTTTTATATAGCATAGAACTATAATTCATATTCAATTGTTGTTCTTTATAATATGCATCTTTATTATATGCTAAAGTATGCTCCTGAATACTATGGGGAGTGTTTTTTTATGCATGGTGCTTTACAAAGCAAGCTGACTCATAAAAGATAGATACACTCCTTGCAGGAGTCTTTTCATACTTTAAGGAGAAAAGGTTGTTAAAGAATATACTAGTTTTACAAAAAAAAAAATTACTGAAGAAATCCAGCTTTAAACCCAGATTACTAGCAATACTACTGTGGAAGATAGGATAAAAAAAAAATTAAAACCCAGTATTACGTGCAGGAGGATATGCAGTCAACAGAGCAGTTATAAAAGGAATAAATATTAGATAAGACAAGAAAAATATATTGGATATAAAAAAAAAAAAATGGCTATTTAGTTCCGTGAATGTCTCGTCCATTCTTGAGATAAATATCCTACATACACACCAAAACTTTAAATCAACATCTTCCCTTTCAAACTGAAGACAGGCTTTATGTAGGCCATTAAGAATAGTATTTATTACCAAATAATTCATGGTGCATTTTGGGTGTCATCAAATGTGTTCTTTATTTCATATACAGTAAGTCCCCAACTTAAGAACATAAGGGGGACCGAGACGCTGTTTGTAAGTTTTGTTTGTATGTCGAAAGTCGGGTCTCCATTACCTTTTTTCCCATTGTTTTAAAGTTTTGTTTACATTAAGAATACCTGTAACTAAACCCCAATAAGTACGACATACCTTATATACAGTACCAGACTCTTGAACTATATTCGCGCTTGGGAAATTTGAAGTTTGCTAGCATCTTCCAAACAATTTTTTGGACTTTAGTACTTAAAAAACTTTGTTTGTAGGTATGGAATGTTCATAAGTAGAATGTTCTTAAGTAGGGGACTATCTGTATGTGTATTTATTTAAGTAAGTTGCTTGCATTGTTTATGTATGATATATATTTATACGCATATATATGTATATGTATATATCTGGAATTGCATCATAAACAAAATACTGTTTTAAAATATCTTATTAATCAAGTAATATCAGCCACTTTGTTTTCTGCCATGTTATATTATCGGTAAGAATATATATGCTGCACTTGGTAAGTAGTCCATCTACTATGATATGAATTGCAATGTCAAAGAAAGCAACTAAGCCCTTTGTTATATCATGTGAAGAGTAATTATGGAGAAAATTCACCTTTTTGAAGTTTGTTTTTGTACTGTCTTGTGTAAAACTGTCACAGATGCTTTGTAAAATGCTGCTTGTATTTATTAATAAAGACTGCAACAGATTTTTTTTTTTTAATATAGTTGCCATGTTACTTGTGCAGTAGAATCTGGAAATTTCAAGAGCATCATGTTTAATGCTATTTGCAGTTCTTATGTCACAACTCCTAAATCAGTCATATTGATCATTAAACTCAAATTCCTCCATAGTCTGGATCATAGTCTTACATGTTAAAATAATGTATTTTATGAGATGTACTTTAAGCCCCACTCCTTTCACAGGCCTTGAAACATGACTGGTTAGTGTGAGGATATTACTGAAATACCACTGGTCATCTTTATTATTGGTTCTTTGTTAATTCATCACTTTTCTTTAATTGTTTTGTTCTTGAATGAAACCGAGAAATTACTGTTACTGTACAACTTCAGTATGCTTCCATATAGGATACTGCTACATTAGATGTTCATAGATGAAAATGTCACATTGAGGGTTGGGTCTTAACCCATTCGCGATGAGCATGTCACGTATGCGTGACATGCCCACTGTGAGTTTACTTGTTTAATTGTTTTTACGCATAGATGGCTACACTTGTACTAAATCACCAATGAGCCAATTACAAGAACTGCCCGTCTCGCCCATTTACCTTTTTCTTTAATTTACGAAAAATATTTAACGTTATCTTATTTTGCTATTACTAATGTTTATAACATTATAGTAATTATAATCTTTATAATAAGAAAAACACTGTATAGTACTAGTAAAAAATACATTTTCCCCCCAATTCAAGGAAAGGTGAAATCAGGTAAGGCAGAGCCATCTATGTGTAGAGACATTTCACAAATAATATAAAAAATGAGCACAGGATTTTCCCCATTTTTTGTTAATTTTCCCTGTCACTAATGAGTTAAACATTTTCTCAATAAATACTATGCTCACACCAAATAATATATGAAATATCTAGCAAAATGTCCATGAATTTTTAAATTGAATTTATGTTTTATTCTGATGCTTTTAACAAAACACCAGTCACAATATGGACAAATAACGATCTTGTGTGGAAAAAAAAAAGTACATAAGAACATTAAATGTAACAACCATAATATTAGTAAATGGAAAGAGGATTGGCAATTTTGAACTACGTATCCATTTTATACACTTAAGAACAAAACCAATATGAATCTATCTGAGTGGATACACATTAAATTCACTTGACAATTCAGAAATTATATAAAAGGATGATGAAAAAATGTCTTTATATAATGGAGATCTTGAATTTTTTATTCAATACAGCAGCACTAGTTTCTGGAAAGAACATTCAGTAGTTTCACTTCTTTTAATGGCTCTCAAGGCTGGTGTACAATTTACAACCTCACATTAAAAACATGAATATTAGTAAAGAGCCTCCCAAAATAACAAACTTATTCCTAAATAGAAAAAAATACATACAAACTCAAGGTTATGGAATGAAAGAATGAAGACATAAGACTTTGTGGAGTTGGGACATTTTATTTTCTTTCCAAAACAAGCTAAAATCAGCTGCCTGCATATTCATATAATAATAATTATAATAATGATTTATTCAGTTGCTATAATACAGATGTATATAAAACAGTGCTAAGCTGTGATTAAAAAATGAATGTGTAGCTAATAAAACAATCCACCTTCTAGCAGCAGGAGAAGATAAAAGTGGTCCTACAACAACCACCAGCATCTCCAGCTGAATGTCAAATTTCATGTCAGTGACAAAGTCGCTTCCCTACAATTTTACAGCCATTGAGAGAATGTCTTCTGAGCACAGGTGCTCAAGGCGTATTATATAAAATAAAGACATGACACAGGCAAATCAGCTGGATGACGCAAATGGTGACCCAAGCAATTGACCAGTCACAGCTATCGGTATCAACAAATAATTTCTTTTCTGGACACAAGTTCAAGGTTTAACAGGAAGAGTGAAGATACCACAGACCAGGAGAGCAAGTCTTCTGATACTGATGAGGGACAGAAATGACAACTGACAGGAGAGCATCCCCAGCAGATACTGTGGTCCTTCCATTCCTAATAGTTGAGGTCAGACTCGTAAAAAAAAAAAAGCAGAAGGTTTTTCACTTCCATGTACCCTCCTTATGTGAGGGCTTGAATGGAACAAAATTAGGGTTGGAAAGATCAAAAGAGCCATCTACTAGTCTCTCTTTCATCTTGTGAACCATTTGGTGCAAATGGTGAGACTTGGTGGGGTGAGATGAGAGACCGCTGATCCGACAACTATCCGTGGAAGGACGATAGTAAAAGGAGAATGGGCTGGTGTTGCACTCATTCATTCGCATGAAGAAATAAAATGGATCATAGTTAAATAACCCTTCTTAGTCTGCTAGTCAGGTTGTGCCAAGACTGTAAAATCACTTATGATTGTACATTACTAAATGATGTATGAGTTGGCACAAGCTGGCCTGGGGACTATGCCTTTTAGAGCAGGTGGGTATCATTATGAAACAACCAAGACATTACATACATCACTGGTGTACTGTTTGTCTGCATTTTAACTTCTGCATGATAGCAAGTTTCACACATCCATGCACACACTATCACTCGCATCAAGCATTGACATGAAGGTGTTCATCAGCATCTAAAACTTGACTTGAGGCACTCTAATGAAAGCTGAAGTTGACCAGCTACAATAACCTGGGATTAACAAAAGGATCCAAATCATATAGAGAGCCTAACAGATATCAATAAAATATTCAAAATTTCATCATCACAAAGCTATTAATTTTTTTAGCTTCATCTTGAAACCTAAAACTGTTTTGGTGAAAATCTACATACTACAAATAGTACCACTAAAAATTACACAATAAAGTATAGCTTTCATCACTAACACTGCCTTATCTGTAAAACTGAATGAAAAGAAAGGGAGAACACAGAAATGATAGGCTGACAGGGAATTTAGGTTGACAAGTCTTGGATCCGATGAACAATGTCAGCAGCACGCCTCTCGCCAGCACCATGAAGGGGCTCCCACAATATATTCCTCTTTGCTATCTACAGATTCTGGCAGTGTCTGAAAAAATAATAGGTTTGATCAGTATAACAGCAACGATGAACTCACCTAAAATTATATATATAAAAAAAAAAAATAATGTGCATATGCAATTTTCTCTCTAAATATTTCTTATACACAAAAAAATTATCCTCCGAAACTTAAAATACCTTGGCTTCCAGCCCATCATATAATTAACATAGGTAATGAGACAAACAGCTGCTTACCAGCATTGGTCTACCAGAGACGGGAGTCTATGAAGGAAATGGGGACTTGGGGCACTAGTGGTGGGCAGCCTCCTTCTCCTTCTTCTTGTCCTTCTTCTTCTTCAGGAAGCTTGGGGTGCGCAGGCCCTTCTTCTTCTTCTTCTTGTCCTTGGAGATGGAGTCATCTGTTAGGGAGGTGTCCTTGGTTGGAGAGCCCTGAGGAATCATTGGTACCATATTATTAGCAGATCATCAGATCTATTGGTGTAAAATTTCACTCAATCAAAAACTTCTCATGCACTAATTTCAATAGATGAAAACATTCTTTTCCAATAGAACTAGCATTTTGTATTTCAACAAAATGTTAGCATCCATTAGTCATAGCTTCTGTAAAACATACCTCTTTACTGCTTTGCGAGAGAGTGCTGTGGTGTGCCTCTGTATCATCACCATTGGCTACTGTCTCCCCTGGAAGAGAAAGTGCATTTTCATTGTTTTTATGCCAATGAGTCTTTCATGTAACCAGAGGTGGAGGATTCAATGAACTAAAAAATAATAATAATAATAAAAAATAAAATAAAATCGAGAATCATTAGGAAAAAAAAAAAAAAAAAAAAAAAAAAATGTGTAATGGTACCACACCTCATCTACCAAAATCATCACTCTCAGCATTCCAGAGGTACCATAACACATTATATGAACTCCCTCCAACCAGGTCAACATTTTCTTACATTTACAGAAAAAAGGTTGAAATCTGAAAACATTAGTGATTAACTTATTATGCAATCTTCAATCTTGAGCAAAATTTCTTTTCCATTATGAATATAGTAAACAGTAAAACATCTAAGCTACATCACACTGTAAACAGGTATTTTACAGATGTTAGGGTGAGCCAAGGTGCAGTAGTAGAAAGTAAATAAATTAATTAAAATAGGCACTTCTCTAAAGTAATGCTATATAATAATACAGCTAAATTAACTAAAACTCACAGATAGCAGGAGAAATGAAGCAAGAAAGATGGCAAAGCAAAGTGGGAGAAATTTGTTTATTTTATACTGAATTGCTCCACAATTTATAAATAAATTAGAAAAGAAATATATGTTGAGAAAGGTAGACTGAAGAAACAGAACTTAAATGACCTGTAGAAGGGCTGCAAATATTTGTAAGGCTGAACACATTTCACCAGGTCTGCAAAGGTCCAATCACCTCCTCACAGGATATGAATGATTGAACATCATGCGTACATGATGTTTGTACTTATTCTATTTAGTCTTTTACCTTAACATTAAAGTTATCTTCCTTTTTGCTTTTCTTTTTTCTATTTTTTTTTTTTTTTCGGAAAAGGTCTTGAAATCTGAACAAATTAGTGATTAACTTATTATGCAATCTTCAATCTTGAGCAAAATTTCTTTCCATTATGAATATAGTAAACAGTAAAACATCTAAGCTACATCACACTGTAAACAGGTATTTTTACAGATGTTAGGGTGAGCCAAGGTGCAGTAGTAGAAAGTAAATAAATTAATTAAAATAGGCACTTCTCTAAAGTAATGCTATATAATAATACAGCTAAATTAACTAAAACTCACAGATAGCAGGAGAAATGAAGCAAGAAAGATGGCAAAGCAAAGTGGGAGAAATTTGTTTATTTTATACTGAATTGCTCCACAATTTATAAATAAATTAGAAAAGAAATATATGTTGAGAAAGGTAGACTGAAGAAACAGAACTTAAATGACCTGTAGAAGGGCTGCAAATATTTGTAAGGCTGAACACATTTCACCAGGTCTGCAAAGGTCCAATCACCTCCTCACAGGATATGAATGATTGAACATCATGCGTACATGATGTTTGTACTTATTCTATTTAGTCTTTTACCTTAACATTAAAGTTATCTTCCTTTTTGCTTTTCTTTTTTCTATTTTTTTTTTTTTTTTTTTTACATCACTCACTGGAATATATTTTCCTACTTACCTCTAGTATAATTGCTTCTTGAAACTCTATTCTCCATCATAAAAATCATTACTTAAAAAAAAAAAATCTACATGGCAATTTTTTTTTCTTCAGTCTTGATACTATCCCAATAATTTTCAAAAACATATAAATGTTCAATAATCTATACATGTGTACTTTATCATTAGAAACTTAATATCAGTTATGTGCTTAAATAATCAACAGATACTAAAGCACTTTCATGTCTTATCATATGTATGGCAGTACACTGAATGGTTAATAAATCATTCTTACAATGAAAAAATGCTTCTATAGATACATTTTTCCTTTATATTTTTAAGCCATACAGCTGCCAGTACCAGCAATGTACTGTAGATGTGAAAAACTGCTTTGCAACAATATTGTATAAGCAATACATGGCTCTGACAACTAAAATCTTCATCTAATGACAGCCTCTAAACATATCATACATGTCATCTAGGCAATCTAGGAAAAGGAAAACCAAAGGCTGATACATATAGATATACATATATATTATCTGCTTTATATATGTATATATATATATGGTATGTAAGGTTCAGGAGAACGTACCCCCTCCAAGGAACTGTGAGACTTGCCGGGGAGGAAGAAATGCTGGATCAAAAACTTTTCATTTCTAAAATGATTTCACCCATGTACAGTAAATAAAAATTTGTCAGGTAAAAATGTATTGTCTTTTATTACTTCTTTTTAACCTTTTGAAATCATTCTTAAACTATAAACAAAAAGTTAATACATTACAGAAAATACTTAAAAAATATTAAGAGTAACTCTCCACCTTGCCAATTTTTTTATATCACACATCACTGTAACTCGCTTACATTTCTTTTTTCTTAATCTCTGGCATTACAAATTCTAACATCTTTCATGTCTTGATCATAGATTCCATGGCTATAATGATAACAAAAAAAGAAAGAGAAAAAGTCCACTAATAGTCATGATAAATTTACAAGAGTTATGTTCAAAACAATAGCAGTAAAAGGAAATTGGGCCTTCAAAGTTGTTCTTACCTTTACGAGACAGAGACCAAGAACGGCGCTGGAGTGCTGAGCGCTTCTCATTCGCCACTGGTCAACCAGACAGCAATAAAAACAACAAACATGCATCTTTGGTTAGTTAAATGCCATGCAGGTTGCAAATAGAAAACAAATGTGTACACTGATCACTATGAAGTTGCAAACATGGAAGCAAAAATAACACAAAAAAGAAAAAAGAAAGAGAAAAAAAAAATCTAAATAAATTCACTACTAGTGCTTAGCCATGATTGCAGGAACACACTGATCACATGAATAACTGACTAAAATAAAGAGGAGAAAGTCACATAACAAACTGAATAAAATAAAGGCAAAAAACTACTTTGTTAGTATCATGACCAAAGGCAAACTCCAACAGGATAAAGGGTAGGGAGCAATCATAAAAAAAAGATCAGGAACTAAAACTAGATTGATACTTCTCTAAAATACTAATATCTAATGAGGTCATGAGGTGGGACTATGTGTGTTTGTCTAGTTTAACAGCAACAATTTCTTACAAAATATGATTACTGATCTAGCAGACAACTGCCACAACTACTCTATGTTATTTAGTATGAAAGGAATGTTGGTATGTGGTATATACCTTCGCTCTTATAGAATGCAGACTTGGAACGCTCCAGAGTGGGGCTCGGTTCCCGTGCCTTCATGCCATCTTCCTCTGCTTGTCAAAGGTGTATAAATAAAAGTAAGTTAGGAACCTACACTACCAAAACATCCATAACCAAAGGTTAATTATCCAAAACAGATATTTCATGCTGTTCAAAATGGAACAGAAATATAATCTGCATGCTAACAAACTTAATAACAAACATATTCATAATATAAAACAAATACTACCACATCTCTTGAAGCTTTTACCATGCACTCATAACAAAGGTACATACTCAGGTCATGCACAACCCATAGAAAAATAAATACCATCACCTATATGTCTTCTATGACTCCTGCAAAACAGACAAACAAACAACAACTTCTTACCATTTTCATCACAACCTGGTGATGTGAAGGAGGGCTTTCCCTTTTGGCATTAATATTACACAAAAACTAAACAACCTTTTTGTGACATCTTTTATGTAAACATTATTAAAACTTAATGCATACAAGTCAAGATAGTTTTACATCATATTTCCTGTGAGGTTTTTAGATAGCAATGTGGACAGACTAGAGAGCAATTCAAAGTTTGTTAATAATTTGCTCTACCTGGAAATACAATTAGTTACCACAAAATACATATATCAGAGTCATAAAGGCGAACCACAGCCATGATCCTGTTATACCACTCCTTATCATTATGCAGCAGAATGCCCCAAATGGTAGAAAGAGTAACAGAAGTGGAAATATGTTTGGGAAGACTGTAATTCAACCCCTTACCGACGGATGAAGAAAATTTTTAAAAACTCTATGCTCTGGAGATTAATGGCAACGAGCCAATTTTGAGCGCGGGAGTTCACTAAATCAAGCCGAACCCCCGGCTTGTAGCACTTTGGCACATTGCTACAGCATATAGCTGCACTCCACAGCTCGAGTGGTTTATTATGACGCCTCAACGCGTGGTCCGTCGGTATGGGGTTAAGGGCTTTGGAAACAGCTAATATCTAATAAGATCATAACTCTCACTTTTCAGATTCAATTTCATGTGGACAAAGAGTAATTTGGCTTTGAATACCAATTAACAGCTTCCAATCAGCTGTTGCTAAATCAGCCGAAACCTAAACTGGCTATGACTGTAAAGCAATATGCTAGTTCCTATGCTTCCAGTATGACAGAGTTTAAGAAGAACCAATATTACTAATGGAATGCTAATGCTAAGTATGTTTAGTTATTTAACATTTTATTTATGGAAAATAATAAGCAACCCAAATTATGGAGATTAAAGCCTGTATAAGATGATTTATGGAAAAAAAAAAAAAATCTTTTGGCATTCCAGCCTAAATAGGTCTTTTAACCATCTCTAATGTAATATAATCTACAATTATTTTGTTGAAAGCGGAGTTCCCTCAACCAAGTTTGAAGCACCCTGCCTGGTAAGTCATTAATATCACTGCAAAGAGATTCAGAGCACACAATTGGGGGATATTTCTGACAGCACTATAGCCTGAGTGAGAGAGATGCAACACCATCTCCTCAATCATGATCAAGTACTCCCCAACCATGTGCTTGAGTCTCCCTCCAGTGCGAGCACAGCCGCAGGAACATTTCCACATGGTCTTACTGGACCGTGATGCTGCCTTCAGCATCTTCTGAATCCCACGGGTGAGGGAGTTGGTGCGGGGGGTCAGCTGACCCTCACCCGCCTGGACAGTGGGGGAGCGGGACAAGGTGGCAGGACCAGAGGGAGGGGGTGTCACCTCCCCCTGGCCCCAGACGTCACCCCCTGCGACTGGAGGGGGCTGCGGATCTGCTATGGGGGAGCCATCTGGGGAGGGATAGGACCACAATACTGGCCAGTCCTTCAAACACACAATGCAAACAATGGCCAACAAAGTATACTCTGGGATTGGGAATTGGAGCAGGCTGGGCAAACCTTGAACTAAAATAAAGTACTTACTGTCAACCATGATCATAAATAAATATTTGAACTCTTAATTCCATTTTCTCCCTTTTACACTATTCATGCTTCTACACAATAGGAGTAATAAACATGATACTTTATCAAGAACATCCTCATACAATGTAATTTGCCATAGTTGACAGTGATTGTTGATCCTTAACAGTCAAAATCATAAGGATTAATATCACACTTCACACTTCAAAAAAAAAAAGTTATTATTATAACCATTTCTAACACTAACTGCCAAGAAAAAAATAAAAAATAAAAAATAAAAGTGAGATCACAATGTTACTTCTAAAAATATACATGTAACTTTTTTTTAACCCCTTACTGATGGGTGAAGGGAGAAAAAAAATCTATACTCTGGAGATCAATGGCAATGCATTGACTTTGAGCACAGGAGTTCGGTACATCAAGCCGAATCACCGGCTTGTGGCGCTCTGGCGTGTCGCCGCTGCGTACAGCCACACTCCACAGATCGAGTGGTTTGTTATGACGCCTTAGCGTGTGACCCATCAGGAAGGGGTTAATAGACACACACATGCATGTGTGTGTGTAAACAATGAGTAAACATTCTCTGTAAAATGATCACACAGCAGCACAGAAGGCAGTGAATGTTAGACATGGAGGCGCATGGGCTCCCTGCACACATCTGGCAGGGTTACCTCTTGACGGTAGCATTTTCATAGTGGCCTGGACCCTCTGGGGGGGGCCCACTGGTACCCCTGGGCCCCCTGTGGGCTTCTTCGGAATGTTGGGTTTAGGGGGGAGACTTGGCTTTTGGCGAACTCGTTCTCCATCTACTGTGCAACACAAGAGCATTGGGAGACCCAACTTTGATGGCATAGATCTCTACATATTTATTTTTCTTTAATCAAGCTACTTCCAAAATATATGAATGCTTTGGACACTTAGGGGAAAGAGAAGTTATTTCCCAAACCATTAAGATATAAAGAGGATAACAGAATATACTTAAGTATTTTACACGAGAATTGGTATGCTATACAAATATAAAACAGCATGAGCATCTAAACCATTCTACCAAATACTAAGAAATTATATACACATTTTTAAGGTGTATTATCTATACAGTATTATACATTTCAATATAGTATACTAATTAAAAACTTGAAACTTCATTTCAATTACCTTCCCAAAAACCTACTCTACATCCAAGATATTAGCTATTCAGCATAAAAAAGACTGATGTCCCAAAACAAATACAAATTGTTGCTTTTGCAAATAATCAAGTATGATTGCATCCTATGATTAGAACATAAAAGGAGCAGTTTACTCAATCAGTTTAATCACTGGGACATAAGCTAATACTTTTATAGGCCTCATAGCTTGTTGGGTTAATCAGCTCACATTCTTCCTTCACGCACTCTGTTAGCTTCTTTCATATAAAGTTCTATTACAATGTAGTTTTTAGTTCCACATACATATTTTTTTACTACATACTATGGAAAACAAAAACATAAAAAGGCTATAATAGACATATGTAGGATCGATCAATGTCTCAAGTTAAAAGTATTAAGGGCATCAATAAACATTGTGAGTCTGACTTCCAAGACCATGCTACAAGTGCCAAGTGTCAGTATTGGACTTGCTAACTATTGCTAGACGCAAAAGGACAATTTCCAAAGGAACAAGTAACAAAAGCAGCCATTCATAACCTAAACACTACACAGCTTGGACAGAAGACCTTACAAGATGGTGACCTTGGTGGACTGGACCAGGAACTTTGCTTTGTTTGTACTTTTTTTTTCTCTTTTTTGCTTATTGTATGAAATCTTAAGAAAGTACCACTCAAGGAAATCATAGGGGTTTCCTGGCCTCTTTTTTTTTCTTTTTTTCTTTTCTTTATCACATTTCTCTGAGTGAGTTAAAATTCATCATCATAGCTGAAAAAAAAAAAAAAAAAAAAAAAAAAAAAAAAGAGGAAATGGGGAAAAAAATCCAGCAATACAGACTGAGAGACGCATCACTTTTTATGTCACAGGGCATTTTGCGCCTTGTCTTCTCCCTGGACACTTGCTTAAAAAAATCTGAGGTTATTTGGGCCGGCGAATCCTTCCAAGCTCCACCATCGTTAGCTTTTTAGCGGACGAATCCCACACACTACTGATTTAGCAGACAAATTAAAATACCCTACTGACCATCGCTCAGGACGACAGACTGTGCTTTGCTTGCTCTTGGTGCCTGTTTTGTTTCCACCTTCAACACCCGACCACTGGAGGCTGTGTGTACCAATCACATGCTTGTTATCAGTCTGTTTACCTACTACCTCTCTCACCAGTTATCTTTCCTTTTCTTGTGACTAGGCATTAAGGAATGAAAGAAAGATAACATTCAAAAGAGTACTATTTAAGTTTGAGCTCACTTGTGGCACAACTGATGTAATCCTTTGAGCTATCTTTGCTTGTGAAGATATCAACTGTTAAAAACCCTAGAGGATACATCTGTTCCTCTCTCTCTTTTTCTCATTTTAATTCTCTCTCTTGTATATGTGCGTGTGCATGTGTAAACCACTGACACTAATCACGACACATTTTGTGACCGTAAAATAAAGAAATTAAACTACAAATACATATTCAAAAATAGCAAAAGGGTTTTTTCCCATAACTGGTGTCATAGGAGCTTCACCAGAGCTATTCACTTGTGATAAACATAAGTTTATTTTTTAACAAACAAAAAAGAAAATCATCCTCCAGGGTCTTTCAGCTAACACTAAAACTGTCTGGGAATAACTATTCTATGAGATACGATCTCCGTCTCCTGACTCGTTTCATTTTCACTTATCACAAGAGCTCAATAATAATAGCCATTTAAAAAATAAGTGACAATGATTTCAGTGCACAAATTATTTCCTAAAGCTGTTCTTTAATACTGTCTTTTCATAAAATGAAGCACTCAAGTTACCAGAAAAGGAAAGAAGTCTAAAGTTAAAAGAGTAAGGTAAGACACATGAAAATATTAGCAATCGTAAGTGAAGTCTGACAAATTAATAAATGAACAATTGTCATACACACTGCACATACTGTAATAAAAATTTGAAACTAGTACAAGTTCTTAGACTTGTGAAATAGAAGACAAGAATAGGAGCAGAAGGAATGAAGATAAACAAATCTAAATTTTATGCTAAAGTCAATAATTCCCCAATTTATCATCATTCCTCCTAAAGAACTGCAAGGATGCAGCAATAGCATTTTATTTATGTTATGCAGTTCTACAGGAGAATCTCTATTAAGGTACAGATTTCTCAACACACATTTGCTTCTAATGACAGACCCTCAAACTTTTAGTAGTCTATTGCTTAAAATCATCAGCCATAACTAGTTCCTTAACCCAAAACCACTTTCCTCTACATACTAAAGTAACAAGTAAAGAAATCATTCCTTCTTCTGGGCAAACCTAGTGCAACATTGGTAACATATAAACCTGTAATAATATGAGAAAAAACAATGCCTACTATTTAAAATAAGAGAAAAAAAGGAAGAAGAAAAAAAAATGTAATGAAATTCAAAGTTATGCCTTTGCACAGAGAACATTATGCAAGTTACCAGACAAAAATTAAAAACCTTTAAAAAGATAAGTATAAAAATACATAAATTTATATATATATATATATATATATATATATATATATATATATATATATATATATATATATATATATATATATATATATATACTATATATAGATAGCTAGATAGATATATAGATATATAAAAAGAAATTAAACAGTAAGTTAAGGCTCCCACTCCTATCCTAAGTAATAAAAATATCCTTGCTACAACTTGAAAACTGCCTTGGCCACTCACCTTCCTGGTCCGAGGTAGGACTGGTGGGAGCAGTGGTGTTCAGGATGGAGTCTTGAACAGAGTCATCCACTACATCTACAGTTGCTCGCTCTGGCATGATGTTCATCTTCTCGATCTCAATCTCTTCAACTGGAGAGATTGTTTATTATTTGCTTTATGAGATGGGTTTATCTAAATTTCAAAGCCAACAAACTTTACACTGAGAAAACTTTTCAGTGAGGTATAAATGTATTTAAGTACTTTTATTGACAGTTTTGTTATTTACTGACAATCAGACTAGAGAGTACAGTACTCTTCCCTGATATCTCAGATGCAACATAGCAGCTGTGCAAAAAGTGTAAAATTCCTACTAGGAGGGACTTTTTTTAACAGGATTATGCAAAGAGTGTAACATGTATACATACCCTGTCCACTTCAATCTTATATCATTGATTTCATTTACACAGTAATGACTCCTAATAGGAATATTAATTGAACTCCTTTGACTAATTACTTCTGATCTCAACTAAAAAAAATCAGAAAGAAATTCTTATTTTCACTACTATTACTACAGTTAATAATATTCTAACAACTACAAATGTTAATCAGACCAGTGAACTTATAAGCAAAGACTGTGATATCTCAGGTGAGCAGCTGCTGTACTTTCCAGACTGGACTGACAAGACTTTTTCCTGAAGTTAAACTTAAAAGCATTACTTATTACCAACTTTCATACAGCACAACAGACTCAACCAACTTCATGCAACACAGCCAGGCTTACTTGGGTCTCCTCGCTGCTTGCGTTCCACAAGCTCGCGATATTCATCGAGCTCCTTATCAGTCACACTATCGAAGGGATTTTTTGCATATGGTGTTTTGTACACAACAGCATTGTGCTGGAAGTCCCGCTGGATGATTCCCTTGGAAGCAGCTCCAACCAGGATGACATGGTCAGAGGCGCCTGACATGCTGGCATCTTGCATGCGACGAGCTTCATCCCAGGTCACACCTTCCAACAGGTGGGAAGTTGGTCCAGATGTGATGCTGCCAACACGGCGGTTCTCTTTGATCTGGAGGAAGGTTCTCATGGGAATATGATAGTGTAGGATGGAAGTAATTTGAGATATGTCAATTCTGATAGTTTTCTTATGTTACAATCCTGTATAATATTCATAAGGTATAAAGTGAAGGATATTTATTCTTGAATGCAAAAAAACTATCAACAGAAAGCTAAAAACCAAATCATGAGGTGGCACACTCACCATCTTCTGGATCGTCTTGAACTCCTTAGGGTTTGTATTGGTTGGAACAAACTGGAGAGCAGATTCCACTTTGACAGGAGTCGAAGTAGAGTGTGTGGGGGACCCATCTGCCACCCACTGTTGGTGCAACAAAACAAAGCACATTAGGGCCTGCCTTTCTCCATCTTTGAAAGCATGTGACAACTGCTTGGCATCTGCTCACTAATAGGCGACTGCGTTCACAGCAATGCATTGTGCCTGTTTCCTACATTTTTTAAAATGTGAACTAAGACTATTAATCTGCTTGAATTCTACAGGGCTCTATACTTATCAGTAAGAGATACTTGATTTATTAAAGTTTAAAAATTTCTGATAACGAGTTCTTGAAAAATGCGAGGCCCTTGTGCTTGGTTTTGCGTGTACAACTACCAATCTTGTGACTTGACAGCATCCAGTCACCAGTTACCAGAAACAGGCACAACCCACACCAGTCAAGGTGAGCATATAGAACAATGAACATTCTACAAAAGATCAATTTATGAAGTGTATCCTTTTATCTCTCTTGGAAAACTACTTCAATTACCTACAACTTCTTACAATGATCACCTTTACTGGTTCTTAAAACTGAAGTAGAATGAAAGCTCTGGTGAGATTGACCATTCTTTTATTAAAAGCCAAAATCGTATGCTGAACACACATGGCAGAAATACACGGCATGTGTCAAAGGCATAAAATGCATGTATTATGCATGAATATAGTGGCACTTTTGCCATGAGCTCAACCTACTTAATGCTCCTGCTTTTATGTCAAGTAAGCTACCTTAACTCCTAATGATCAAAAACTGAGAAATTCTGAATGCAAATTTCTGCTCATACCATTCTGACATCTAAAGCATGAAACATAAGTGGCTGGGAAACTCAACCCTAAAAATAATGAATGTGACATTTACTACAATAAAATCTTAACTGAAGAAAGACAAAAATAAACTGCATAAAAAAAGAAGCATGAGTATCCAAAAATACATTGTAATTCAGAATAACAAAATATAGTAAAATAGTGAAAATGTGAGAACCTTTACTAAAATGTCATTATACTTGACAGCATGAAACTGAAATGGTAAAACTTGTCCCAAAATTTCTCTATAAAGCTCCTTACTTGACTTAAATACATATTGATTCTTAGAAAGATTTTGACACAAATACACAATTGAATACACTAACATCACTGTGGGATATTTCAAATATACTGAATGACTGCCATGAATCATCATTTGACTCTTGAATGGGAGTGGGTGTAGATATATAAATGTACTGTGACTGTAACTAACATTTTCAATGAAAAAAAAAGAAAGAAAGAAAAAAAAAAAAGATTCCCCCCACAAAGAGATGCTAAACATGGCTACATCAAGGAAAAGATGATTCCAAGATTCCCCAATCGGACACCTACAACAAGTTCCCTTTTTCCATTCACAAGAGAGGCATTGGAGCAAAATGGCAGGTAAGAATACCTGTCAACTTCCTGGTTTTGAGCAAGATTAACCTGGACCAATCAAGACAGGTGCTATGCTTAGCAAGAGTTCAAGTAAGGCTGTTAACACAATCTTTAAAATAGAAGTTTCACATGAAATATTCCCCCAAATTAGTTTCAGTCATACATCTAATATGAATATTCAATAAAACCAGTCTGCTGCATATCTTGGCACTTGAATTTTAGATTTTCAATCATATCACTGTAACGCCAAAGTAAAGACTATAATGGGACACTATGCAACTTCCATGTATCAATGTAAATTATATATACATATATACATATATACATATATACATATATACATATATATATATATATATATATATATATATATATATATATATATATATATATATATATGTATGTATGTATATGTATGTATGTATGTATATGTATGTATATGTATGTATGTATATGCATGTATGTATATGCATGTATGTATATGCATGTATGTATATGCATGTATGTATATGCATGTATGTATATGCATGTATGTATATGCATGTGTGTATATGCATGTGTGTATATGCATGTGTGTATATGCATGTGTGTATGTGCATGTGTGTATGTGCATGTGTGTATGTGCATGTGTGTATGTGCATGTGTGTATGTGCATGTGTGTATGTGCGTGTGCGTGTGCGTGTGCGTGTGCGTGTGCGTGCGTGTGTACAAGTATGCATATCTATATATATGTATATATACATTATATAGATATATATGTGTATGTACATGTATACATACATGTGTATATACATGTGTATTTATGTATGTATGTACACATGTACATATGCATACTATTTTTTCGTTGTATAATCGAGTGTGAATTAGATGTGTTTTTTGTGAGCCAGAGTGTGAGCATGTGAAAATAAATCTTAAGACTAACTGAGTAGAATATTCTGACTGCAAAAGCTGCTCCATAACCTAACAGCAATAACATCCCAACTGAAGCATATACTGATCCCTAAAGCTATCTGCCACTAAAGTCCAATATCATTTACTGTCTTTTTCTCCATGAATATTACAATACTTATACCTAGGCCTATCCATGGATATTTCAATCACTCCATTGCAGGGAGTTAATTCTATGGTTACACAGCTGTTGTGACTAATATACGTAAAGTTCCTTAAAGCTAAGTCTAGGAAACACTGGCTAGCATTTCGTTGGAACAAGTCTCATAGGACTCCACATCAATTCTTTGGTCGCTATTACTAAGCACTGTTCTTGAACAAAGAATTACTACCTCAAAACTAGTGTGCCTTGCGAGTGTATTTGAAAAGTGAATAGTGATGTTCTCTCTAAAAAGTAATCAATAAACATCTCAAAAAGAAGTTGAATCCATTTTAAAATTCACTTTCCAAAAACACCTATTATGAAATCAGTGCTGAGTATCTTGACACCTTGAGTGTACATCCACACCTAGTACAATATGAAGCTTATGCAATATGAAAGAATACACACACATTGTTCCTCAAAAGAGTTATATTAAGAAGGTAGGCTATATTAGAATATACTCATTAAGCTTCTAAACAGATTTTGTGTTGATCAACTGAATCACTTTGAAACATTATGATCTGTTTTATCAAAATATGACTTTGAAGATTCTTCACATTGCTTACACAAAGTCATGCCTCAGCTTGTGAGGCCATCCATCAATGCATAAAGGCTACAAGCCTTCTGATGTATAATAATATCACCAGTGTTTATCTTTATCCATTTCTTGAGTTATCAATGATCTATTGGGGCATTTTCTGGAAGCTTCTAGACTTTTATTCTGTGGCAGTCGTTATAAATCCCTCTGATATTGCAGAAATAGAAATGGCAGTTTAATCTTTCTCAGTATTAGGCAATTATTTCATCTCCCACAATGACCAATGTGCTGTATACACATTCACACAGTCTGAGCTGTATAGTATTTATTAAATAAAATTACCTTCTCAACAAAAAGGAAAAGAAAGAAATAATGAAAATAAAAAATAAATAAATAAATAATAATAATAATCAGTACAATTCCATGCCACACCATCACATTTATTTATTTATTTATTTTTTTTAGTCGGAATCACACTGACATTAGTAATAAGTTGAATTCAGAGAAACTCCTAAATCTGAAAGATCTAACTATGATGTTAGCATGTAAACATGAGTACAAAGTGAATATGACCAACTAGAGGACTGGAGACACCACAGGACAAAATATCCTGCAAAAGTCCTCTAACACAAACTGAATGTGCTATGATGGCATAGGAGTTTCCTGCTAAACAGACCTTTTCCTTCTTTTTCTTTTTTCTTTTCAAAATTCAAATGAAAGGTAACCCAACACTTTAAACTCCTTTTAGAAGTATGGGTAAATGCTGTACAGCAGTTATCCCCCCTCCCCTTAAAAAATGGAAAGGAAAGGAAAGGAAAGGACAGGAAAGGAAAAGAAAAGAAAAGAAAAAAAATCTTCCACATTTTGAAATGACATAGAATTGGTCTCAGACTGGGAATTCCAGATCTGTCATCTCTCTGCCACCTCCTCCTGCTTTTCCCCCTCCTGCCTAGGACCCCCACAGTGCAGAGCAGGGAGCCCACAGGCAGCTCCCTCTGCCCCCATCTAGAAGCTTCTCCTCCTTGTCCTATTTGTTCTCCACTGTTATGAGCTCTACCTTGGTGATCTTCTTGGGATCCGGAGTGCCTGTCTCCAGTACTTCCACCTTCTGGTAGACATTGGGTGAGTTTAGCCACCGGGTCTTGTCCTGAGTCTTGCGCCCGTCCAGGATGCGCTTCAGCGGACTGGAAGATAGATAAATATGCTCAAGGTAGAAAGAAGTCCAGGAAAACCCATAACAGAAACCTGTTCTTTAACTGTATGTAAATACCACTCAATCTCTGATGTAAAACATAGAAAGAAAGAAAGAAATTAAGAAAAAAAATCTTAATAAAAACAAACATTTACACAA